TTGACATATCAAAGCAGATTTATAATGTAATCATTGTCATGTATCATCATGTAAAATACGGTAATTAAAGAATACATTCAAGTATACAACAAATATACAACTTGTATATGTCCGTACAAGTATAATGTGCATGATTTTACTTTAATAGGTGCTATTTCTGTGGACATAATCTTTGTTACATGCCATGTTCACTATGTTGCTTAGATGTTCTATTTAGAAATAAAATCCATACAGTTTTATGTAACAACTTGTTTCAAATAAAAAGTAGCAACACTTTATTTATGAGATGTTCCCTGCATGTAATATAGTAATACACAAAGTTATAGAACTGACATATAGAATGTTAGACACAAATACTGCCCAATTTTAGTCTTTGTTGTATAATTACTAGACAAGTACTGCTGCAATTTATGTCCCCTGTATATCTTTATCTTATCATCAATGTGTACAACTGGTGTTGCTACTGTATGTCAGGTCCTACATACATGGACATGTTTTCAGCTGTGCTCCCATATCAGTTCCTTCTAGTACTATCAGAGTAGCCTACAGGCTGGGGTCTCTTCTTTCATTTACACACTAGGAACTACTACCAGTAGTACTAGTACTGAAGTCTGGAGTAAAATAAACATTCAACCAGAGTTTGTTATAAGCAAGCTGATAAACTGCTGCCTTGTTAGCATAGTAAACAGTAGAGGCCTGACCTGTAAAAAGTGTAAGGCTATTCTGTAAGCTACATCAGTGACATGTTGAGAATGTGAGCATCAAGATCATATAGCTTTGGCAATGTGCAGAGATTGTATCAGTTTTTTTCAGTGTAATAGTGAGATAAGATAGACTTGCTGACTGTGCTAAAAACAATTGACACAGATATTCCACACAGAAATCATCAATGCTGATCCAAACCAACCTGCATTATATTTTTGCTCACTTTAAAGGAAATGACAAGTAAATGAAAGGTTCAATACTAGTAGCTAGTACTTAGTAAGTAGTACAATGTAGTACTATTTATTTTTTTACCCCTCAGTCAATTAAGTTCTCACACAATATGGTCTTTGAATTTATCACTTACAATGATGTTTACATTGTATTTGGCTGCAAGACTCAATATAGTATACATTGCTGGTACATGATACAAATGTAGTTAACATATTAGTTTTTTATTACATATATTTCAAAAATTAAAAATTTACCGATTTTAAAACACTATGACATTTTCCAGATTCAGTAGTTGTTAAATATAGTAACAGTGTTGTTCACAGAATCAGTCATCACTAGCTGTCCCTCTGGTGCTATGGCAATGGCCTGTGGACCCTGCATGTCTGTGGTGATATGGTGAAGGAATATACCTGTCTCGTCAAATAGCTCTACACGTCCATTCCAACTGTCTGCCACAATGATGTTACCCAACCAATCTGTACAGATGCCCATTGGTCCCTTCAGCAGCCCTTCACCTCTTCCCCTCTTCCCAAACTTGAACAGAAACTGTCCGTCTCCACTGTATACACAGACACAGTTATCCTCAAAATCAGACACAATTATGTTCCCCGTTGAGTGGCAGTCTACAGTGATGTACTGTGGGACTTTCATTCCATTCTCACAACCTACAGTTGCCACAACTG